AGCTAGTAATTAAAGGGAGTTAGTTGCACTTGAGAACCAAATCACCAAAACATAATACTACAAAGCTACGTGTGGTACATTTATCTAGCCAAGATTTAAATTAGTTTTTTTCTTGCAGTCAGATTGTCCTGGGAAATCTAAAGTGCCACTTTAACAGTCTACTTATAAGCAATTATTTCAACAACTGAAAGTAAAAGAAAAAAAAAATAACCCATCAGAGTCAATCAACCCATCTAATGAACAAGCAAGTATTATCTCTGTGTCAATGAAACTCTACTTTCAACTGCATTTTTTTAAACTAACATATAAAGTATTATTTGTTTGAGGGGTACAGGTCTGTGAATCATCAGTCTTACACAATTCACAGCACTCACCACAGTACATTCCCTCCCCAATGTCCATCACCCAGCCACCCAATCCCTCCCACCTCCTCCCCTCCAGCAACCCTCAGTTTGTTTCCTTAGATTAAGAGTCTCAACTGCAATGTTTTATAGGAGAAAGAATACAGGTTTTGGTAATTAATCATTAAGGGTTCAAATCCCAACTTGGTCATGTAATAGTTCCTGTAGCATTAGACAAATCACTTATGTTCTCTGTGTCTTACTTTCTGTGTATATAAAATTGCAGTAATAATATCTATTTAGTTTGGTGAGATTTAGAAAAACAGATCTGAAGTAGTTGGCCCAGAGAATTTGATTTTTTTTTTTTTACTATGACTTACCAAAAGGAAGCACATTTTGTAACATAACTCAGGATGTGTGTGTGTTTATACTCTTATATGTATACATATACACACTTCTTTACAACTTGAAAACAATTTCCAGAAATGCAACTTCTTTCTGAAATGCACTTTGATATTTTCTTTTCTTTGAAATTTTACTCCAGTTCATTAAAAAAATTTTGGTCATGAGTACAGTTTGAAAAAATCCCATCTAGCACTAAGCATGGCACTGGATGAGGAGACAATCGTGGATGTTATAAGTATTAGATGTGCAAAAATGAGAATCCTTAGGTGTATTAAATATAGTCTTATAGTATGTTCAAACATCGTCTGCCTTTGCCTTTGATGGACAGTCTGGCCTATTCATTGCAGGGATTAAACATAGCTAAAGTTTCTAGCAATACAAAGAAGGCATTTTCCTAAGATGAACAACAGAAAATTTGGGGAAATCCTACAATGCATGCTACTCTCAGGTATCCAAACTGAAACACTTAAAACCAGATTGTGTACACTGTTCACACTACTAAGTTCTTCTCAACTTGACCCTCCCTTGTAACTTTGAAAGATTTTTTTGTTCAAAATATTCTTCAAATGCCCTTTCCTAAGAGCTTTTTTTTAACTTAAAGAAGATGTTGTTATGAGAAACACAGCAAAAGGCTGACCAATAACGTAAGCATTGCAAAGTCAAATAGATTGTTCCCACCTTAGAGCACTGAAGGCAGTTGCCTCCTTTCTGTAAAGTGGCAGAAAACCAAATCAGCGTAGGAATACTATTGGTCAAGTGCATGTACTCACTGGTAGGAAGTGAGCGTGATTCAGTTAGCTCTCAGCATTTAAACATCACTTAAAAATCTAGCTTTTTAAATTTTCCTTAAGACTAGGCTTATATTGGGACACCTGGGTGGCTCAGTCAGTTGGGCGATTGTCTTTGGCTCAGGTTATGGTCCTGGAGTCCTGGAATCAAGTCCCGCATCAGGCTCCCAGCTCCATGGGAAGTCTGCTTCTCCCTCTGACCTCCCCTCTCATTCTCTCTCTCACTCTGTCTCTCTCTCTCAAATAAATAAATAAAATCTTTAAAAAAAAAAAGATTAGCTTTATATTCATGCTCAGCAAGAATTACGTAGAGATGAGTGATAGTTGACTTCTATAACGGGGCATGAGTCTCCAAATCACCATGGCTCTGCCCAACTGGCTGAAGTTTATGTTACTTGACTGACAACCATAACTATATGAATTCTGATTTTATAGAGTCGGTGAATTCCTCAACATTCCATAGTTATTTAGTAGCTCAAATAGGATTTGCTCCCAAATCTTTCAAGAATTCAGAACTCTCTACACTACTACACTGGGCCTGATCTTATAAAGTAAAATTAAATTATTTCAATGTCTTCCATTAAAATAGGATATACCAAATATTGAGTAGTAAAAAGTGACATAATATGCCAGTGTTCTACTATATCTTAAAAACATATATAATAAAACCCAAAAAGAATATTGGGTCTTCAAATACAGAATGTACCAAAATTCATTTATCATTCTTCATAAACCTACTCTGTCATTGTTATTGTTAATCATTACTTGTTCACTTACCCAGGACTGAAACCTCAGACCTTTTTGATTCATTATTTCCCTTTTACCAATTCGAAGCTTGTTTGCTCGTATTTTATTTGATCATCTATTATTATTATGAAATATGCCCCATTATTTTTGCAGTATGGTAGTTTTATAGGCACTGTCAACAGTTAGACTTTGATTCTATTTTCTTTCCTTTTCTTACCCCATTTGCCCCCTTCCCCACCTGGCACACCTCAATTCATTCCTCAGGTCCCATAACCAATATAACCTCCTCCGTGAAGTCTATGTATCGTACGCCACTCATAACAGGAACTGTAATTACTTTGCTAGTTTATGGTCCAAAAAAACCACATAGCTCACATTCTATGATTAGCTGTTTGTATTCTGGTGTCTCCCACTACAGTGTGAGCTACTTAAGTTCTTCATCCTTATTTTGGTGAGCAGAAATGATAAATAGTTGTTATTTTGAAAAAAAAAAAAAAAAGAAAAACCAACAAAGGGAACAACAAACAAAGGACCACAAAAATACATGAATTTCTGCTAATATCATCCAGGGTGATACCTGTGTCCATATATCTTTAAGATTGTCAAGTTTTGCTTGAGCCTTTTAGGAAGAGAGTTTTATGCCCCTATGACTAGTATTTGGCAAAGGCTAGAGTGTAAGTCTTAAATTCAATGATATGTGTTCTTCCCTGGCCTAGGAGCCAATGATTTTTGAAGACAGATAATTATGTATCCATGAAATGAGCTGCAGATAAGCTCTATAAAGACAATGTCCATATCAGACTTGTTCCAGGTATCCAGCACCTAGCACATTTAAAACTATGACGGCCTAGTTCCAAGAACCCTGGGGAAACTGAGAAGTGCTACAATCTCTTTGAATTCTTGTTATCTTTGACCCAAAAGGTTTGGATGGTCATATACTTCAACTTGGCACATTTTATTTTCTACTTGGTGGTTTTTCCCTTCTCCTATCACACCACTGTCTGCTGGTTGTAGTCAGGTCTCAACTATTTGAGAAGCCATCATCTCTGTGCTTCAACTCCCCTTTATGCAAAATGAAGATAATATATTTATAGCAAAATATCAGATGAGAGGCTACTGTGTAACTGATAGAAAGTAAGCAATTACCACGTTAATCATCCTTCTCTTTCCCTCACTCATTTTTAATATCTATAAGAATACTAAGAGAGTGAGGTTATAAACCACTTTTTTAAAAAAAATTATTTTCCCTTCCTTTAAATATGATCAAATTTCAAGAGAGAACTGTTTTCATTAATAAGGTGACTTTTGACAGAACAGAGCGTTCTCATTTTATAATTTGCTTTTAATACATATTCCCAGAGTGCTTGTCATGCGTGTTGATTACTTTTGGCTAATTATGAACTAAGTCTTCACAAATATGCTCTAAAAAGGAACATAAGCAGAAGACTGAGTGGGAGTCCAAATGCAACAATAATCCCTTAAATTTTCTTTTAATCATGACTGGTCTTTTGAGAGAGAAGCACTTCCATTTTAGAAATAACACAAAGACACAATAAAATTATAAACATTAGACAAAAAGTAGGTAGAGAAAGCACGGAAGGGGGAGGAAAATCTACCGTAAATTAATTATCTGACTCAATGCATGAGATGTCACGAGAAGAGAGCAGTCATCAGGCCCAGTAAAACCCAAGCAGGGCCCTTAGGAGCTTTTTCCGATCCTAATCCTAGTTTACAATCTGCATTATTTCCATTGGTGAGCACCTGTTTTAGGTGAAAGGCTTGACTCTCACACCTGGGTTTCCTTCTGTCTGGATGGCTCCTCTAGTCTGGTGACTTCAGTGGCCTCTTCTTCAAATGTCTGGATTCCCCAGGATTCAATCCTCAGGTTAGTTCTTACAGAAGAGGTCCTTATGCGACGTGTCCTGTATTTCATCTCATTCCTTCCTATCATTTCAACTACCATCTGAATACCAACACTTCCCAAATTGGCAAATTCAGATCTCCTCTCCTGAGCTCCAGATCTAGATATAATAGTGCTAAGGGAGTATCTTCATCTGGGACTCCTGGGCATCTCAAACTCAGTGCATCTAGTGCTGAATTCATTCCTTTCCTTTACAAATCTCTTTCTCTTCACTTTTCCAAATTCTGTATCTTGAAGTCATCCTCAATTATTCCTTTCACTCACCATCCACCAAAATTTTTCCCACCAAATCCTATAGGTATAAATGATTTTCCATTCCCTTCCCTCGATATATTTCCTCTGTCCTTATCTTTTCTTACCCAGTTACTCTTACAGCATCCCGTCCCCTGGTCGGATTTTGCACTAGGACTGCTCTGTCCTCTGCAGTGCAACCAAGCTGATCCTATAAAATAGAAATCTATATCCCAGCACTGCTTTAATTCCTCAGTTGATACTCCACTGGGTTTATCATGAAACCCACATTCCATTAACTGTTGTACAGTCTGCCCTCCTAATCTAGCTTCTCTCAGCACTTTTCTTGAATGCTTTGACCAAGGATTCCTGAACTGCTCACTTTTTCATCAATGAATCTTAATTTTCACACTCTTAGTACCATTTCTTCCTCATGGCCTGCTTCAGGTGTTTTTTACATTAAGCTCTGATGTTACCTTATTTGGGAGCTATTTCCCCTAATGCCTTCTCCCTTCACCTTTTGTATTCTGAGTTTTTTTCACTGTATTTTTATTATTATTATTGTTTTAAAATATGGAATGTTTCATGAATTTGCATGTCATCCTTGTTCAGGGCCCATGCTAATCTTCTCTTTGTCATTCCAATTTTAGCATATATGCTGCTGAAGTAAGTACTTTTTCACTGTATTTTAAACCAGTGTATTATTATCAATTTAACCACCTTTTTACATACATTATCTAAAACCTGGTTATAAATATGATAATCATGCTTATAATACTTTATTTACATTTATTAGGCCTTATTTACATTCATTAAGCCTCACTCAGGCAATGTTTAAAGTACTTTATGCATTATTTTCTAATTTAGTCTTCACAAGATCTCTGTACCCTGAGTACTATTATTGATCTTTACTTTATAGATGTAGATACTGAAACACATACAAGCTAAGTAAGTTGCCCAAGGTCTAACAGAGCTAGGATTAAAATTCCAATAGTCTGGTTCCAAAATGTGTATTCTTAATCACTCTCTATACTGTCTTTTGCAGAAGGTAAGACACGCCTTACCGATTTGACATTGACCAGATAGAATGTTGGTCCAGTGATGGTAGTAGGTTCACTCCAGCTGATGTTGATGCTAAAAGGGGATGTTGCTATTACATGCACACTTTCAGGAGGACCATCTGGAGCTGTGAAAAAGAAAATCAATTACCCTGGGACTTCTGAGTTAGTCTTTGCTGCAAGATAATAATAGAAAAGGCCATGAGAAAAAGATAGTGATAATGAATTAATTATACATTAATTTATAGTTTATGCATACTAAAGGCATTGGCAAATTAAAAGATGTAATTCCTTTCAAAACAATTACTATATGTAAGAAACTTCCACACGAGATATTAATGATTATAAACATATGATTTTTAAACTCAAAATAATATTTTGAAATGAAAACATTACTATTGCATATCTTTTTGAATAAATGCTTTTATTTAAAAATAGATTGTCTAATAATGTTGTTTTAGGAAGACCTGCAGAAACATGTTTGACTACAAAAAAAGTAGAACCGGAACAAGGGAATTATATCTAAAATTGAGTTGCTTTTATTGTTTTCACCAAGGGAGTAACATAGGAAATAGGTTTACAACTGATATTATCACAAATGTAAATTTTTTCTGAATTCATTATGACTCCACATAAATTCTTTAATTTGTCCTATTTTTATTATTTTTTTTTATCAAGAGTGCAAAACAAGAGATAATATTTTAGGGAACTGTCTGCTAAAAACCCTTCCGTAAATTTTTAATTTATGAAACTGCTATGAACTAGAAGAATTTTTAGTATGTTAAGAAGGATTTAGTCACCGTTGATTTGATATACATTGAACTAGGGACTGTTACTCATATCTCTGTCCTCCTATGGCCCCTAGTCAATTTTAAGGGCATTAAATACTGAGAGATAAGAATTTTTCCAGTTTTTCTAATTTTTAAATCCATGTAAGCAAACATTACTGAACAAATATTGTCCAACGAATCCTGAGAAGGTATAAAGAAAAAGATTATTAAAATAGTCCTTTCCATAAATAATTTATAAGAGCCACAAATTGTACTCACTCAGTCAAACAAAATTTCTGGACCTCGTCTTCCGCCTTATATGCATATTTTGTAGTGTTTTAAAAGAATCGTGTATTCAAAATGTGTGAAAGTGGCCAGTTAGTCTACTGTTCAGCCCATCATTGTCAATTAATACAATATGTTATAACAAAAGGCTAAGTTAAGATAAGGACAAATCAGAAATACAAAGAATTGACTGTGACTGGGCCAAGGGCAGAGTGCTGAATACAGATGGAGCAGGGAGTTTAGGTAAAGTTGCTCAGAGGAGATGGGAATCGAATAAGCCTTGAAAGATGAGAAGGATTTCAATAATCAGAGGAGTAGTTTTAGGAGCACTTCTTTGCTAAGAGGATCACAAGCAAAGCCACAAAGACATAAACAGCAGGGTCCACAGACAGAATTTTATCATTGTAGAAGTGTTTTCCTTGGTAATCTTATGTTTATTATTTTATACATTAAAAAATATTGTCCTAGGAAGGAGTCCACACACTTCCTCAGACTGGAAAAGGAATTCATGATGCAAAAAAAGATTCAGAATCCCTAAATTCAAGGAATACAGGTATCACAGACAGACCCATGTTCATATGGTAAGGAACAAGCCTCAATGGTCTTTTGGACACTAAGGTTATTATGTTAAAGCATTTGAAGCTCATTCTTTTTTTTTTTTTAATTTTATTTATTTATTTGACAGAGAGTGAGAGACAGTGAGAGAGGGAACACAAGCAGGGGGAGTGACAGAGAGAGAAGCAGGCCCCCCACTCAGCAGGGAGCCCAAGGTGGGGCTCCATCCCTGGGATCATGACCTGAGCTGAAGGCAGACACTTAATGACTGAGCCACCAGGCGTCCCGTAGCTCATTCTTTAAATAATAGAATGCCACTGAAGGTTTTTGAAAAAGGAATATTTTTCTAATGATTTAGGAAGAAAACTTTAGTAATTATACAATAGGTAGGCGCTCTGAAGCATTGAGTCCAGGGAAGCTATTTCCAAAAAGCCAAATAAGATATGATGAGATCCTAAACTAGATTAGTGACACTGGGTATAGATGGGAGGAGATGAATCCTAGAGTCATTTAGAAAATTTAAATGAAAAACAAACAAACAAACTTGAGGCTGATTACATGTGGGTAAAAACTGACATAGAGGATGTAGCAAAAGCTAATAGCTAGTGTTAATACCAGGAGAATGTTGATAGAATTCATACCAACAGTATATTCAGGAGCAGATACTGGTTTTAGTAGGGATAAAACTTTGGAAGGAGATAATAATTTTGGATTTGTACTCATTGAGCCTGAGACACTTCCAAGAATTGAGAATGCATACCTGATAATTTGAAAGATAAGCCTAGAATTAGGAAGATAGGGCCAGGATAGAAAAGAATTTTTTAAAAATTTCAGATAATTCCTTACAAATCAAGATAGCATAAATACAGCAAGCATATCTGGTTCAAGTGAGTCACATCCTATGAAGAGACCCAAAGGATTATTTCAGTACCAGATAGTTATTTAAAATGTTAACAGCATGGACATTGCTGCTATGAACATTGGAAGGCACGTGGCCCTTCTTTTCACTACATCTATATCTTTGGGGTAAATACCCAATAGTGCAATTGCTGGGTCATATGGCAGCTCTATTTTTAACTTTTTTGAGGAACCTCCACACTGTTTTCTGAAATAGCTGCACCAGCTTGTATTCCCACCAACAATGTAAGAGGGTTCCCCTTTTTCCACAACCTTTCCAACATTTGTTGTTTCTTGCCTTGTCAATTTTTGCCATTCTAACTGATATAAGGTGGTATCTCAATGTGGGTTTTTTTTTTTAAGACTTTATTTATTTATTTGACAGACAAAGATCACAAGTAGGCAGAGAGGGAGGCAGAAAGAGAGGCAGAGAGAGAGGGAGGAAGCAGGCTCCCTGCTGAGCAGAGAGACCAATGCGGGGCTTGATACCAGGACCCTGAGATCATGACCTGAGCCGAAGGCAGAGGCTTTAACCCACTGAGCCACCCAGGTGCCCCTCAATGTGGTTTTGATTTGAATTTCCCTGATGGCTAATGATGATGGTGATGAGTATTAAGGAGGGCACATACTGCATGGAGCCCTGGGGATTATATGCAAACAATGAATCATGGAACACTATAGCAAAAACTAATGTTGTACCATATGGTGACTAACAGAACATAAAAAAAGATAAAATTGTTAATAGTAGTGACAATTTTTAAACTATGAATATGTTGTTGGCACTTAGAGTATGTTTCCATGAGAGATATTATGTGTGGAATTTAGATATGCAACTCAGCCCATAAAAATGTATTTTAATAGTAGCATTAAAATATTTTTATACAATACTCAGATGTAACAATAGAGGACTCTAACAATCATGTAAAAGGAAATTTCTGTGGGAAAATGCCTTTGAGGTACCAAACGTATCTTTCTTACACATACCATTTCTGACCCTTGTGCAGCACTCTGTACACTGACTCAGAGATCTAGTCTGTGGCGCATCCAGGAGAGACAGTGGAGAGGGGATGCTTCAGGATTCAGAAGTCTGATGAGCTGAGAAGCACTAATAATGATGACAGAATTGGATACATGATTTCTTTGGTAGCTAATGTAGAGAGATCATGGAATCCCAGTACTTAAACACACCTGCATATCCTAACATCTTCAGTCTTTATTACTTCTAATTTTATGATCCTAGATTTATGAAGTGTCTCAAATTATAGCATAATTCATTTAGATAATTATATATAACAAATGAGAGTTATGAGAGATCTGCCACTTGCATAATCAATTGCCTTCGGATGCCCTAACAGAATAATGCACTTCATATTCAAGAGTGGCAATCCTTTTTCCTGTCCAAACTGGACGTTCCTTAGAAATGTTATGCCCACCTTAACAAGTAGCAGAATAACAAAGAGCATCCCTGAATCTCTCTATTCAGAATGTTAAATGAAGAGAGGACAGGCTTCAGGACCAGGTACACCATTACTGATCATAACCGCACACTTTCCTCACAGAGAAATCTGCTTTGAAAACTGTAAAATGGTCTGTAGTGGCCTATCTTCTGCTGCCTTTGACTCTATAAATGGGATGGGCTGCAGTTAAGTGCAAATTTATTAAGACATCTACTAATTAATTAATAATGCTTTTGTTATTTAACATTAATTAATCCTTTTGCAAAACCTGCCTTCTAGCTCTGTAAGAACCATTGTGGAAAGGAACAATTTTCTGACAGGCCACAAATTTAAAATATACCACTTTAAAGAAAATATTTGAGGCTCCCTTTCTCTTTAGTTATATCCAAGTGTTCTGTTGGCTTTTAGATGAAATTTATACGTTTATCCAACCAGCAAATATTGACTGAATACCTTCTGTGTACCAGACACTGGGAAGACACAAAGACTACAGAAGTGATGGATGCAGTTGTAGACCTATCTATATAGAGATTCTAGAATGTAACTTCTCTTCTTCACTCAACAACTATTTATTGATCACCTACTACACAATGGGCATTTTTGAAGTGCTGGTGGTAGAGAAGAAAACCCAAGAGATAACGATCATAGAACC